TTTTTTTTTTTGTCGAACAATAGACTATCCATAGAAAAAACACATAATCACACGCTAGAGAGTAGCTAGACAACCGAATAAGTCAGCTATTTAGCTGAATCTAGTTGGGAGGACTAATCCCAAAGGCAACAAGCCGAGGCAGCCTAGAACCAACCTTATAAACACATCACAACAAACTCACCAACAATACAAAAAGAAAAAAATTCCCAATAGGAGAAAAACCTACTCCCAACAGAAGAATAATCGACTCCCAACAGGAGAATCGAAACCTAAACACAAACAAACATAACAAAATGGAACAAAACACAACAATACCTCACAGAAACAACCTACTAACAGTTAACTAAAGCTTAAATAAAAAACAACAGCGAAATCGAATTGAGTCCCCATAAAAAAATAAAACACTACGGAAAAAAATAAGCCCCTACCCACGGTGGGCAAATATTAATATGCCCACCGCTTACATGACACATACACCTCATCAGATAGTTTTACATCTACAAACCTATTTATCAGTTATTTTGTTTTCTTCTCCACAACTGAATTTTCTCAAAAAAAAAAAAAAAAAAAAAACACGACGGAGAAATCGAATTGAGCCCCCATAACGAAATCAACCGGTTTCACCTTCGACGGCGCACGAATTTGACCAGTCAAACCCGGTCGACTGACGATGGACGCAATTGACGAGCCATACCGGAGGTGAAGCTGTTGCTCAGTTTCAGGGTCGCCCCAAATATTTAATTTTCAGTTTCATACCAGAGTGTAATAATATTTAATATTCATATTCATTTTCTTGCAATCCTCAACTAAACGAGAAAATATTTTTCAGAATCTTTTGTACTCGCTATTGTTTCTCGGTGTCCCTAAATTCTGAAAAACATTTCTCATCTTTCCAGTAACTATGCATGTGTTGTTTCTTAAATTGTACTTGTTTTATATCTTTTCTATTTAGAAATAATATATTTAGATTCTTAAATAATATTTAAATATTTTTCGGAAATAACACTCATATTGAAAACTCTTATTGTAAGGATGGACGTAGAGTAAGTCAAAACATCATTTGTTCCGCAAGTCACTATTTGTGCGGCACCAAAAGTTGGTCAAGTGTTTCAATTGCTTGAGATAACCTACAACTTTTATAATAACTATGCCAGACAAACAGGATTTAGTGTGCGAATTGACAACAATAAGAAGATTAAATAAACAAACGAGGAGGTTTGGAAAATGTATGTGTGTAATAAAGAAGGAAAAACGTATGAAACTTGGCAAACTAAGAAGAAAAATATAGCGATCGAATCTAGGGAAAGGAAGCGTGGACATACTCAATACGGTTGTCAAGCTAAAATGAACGATAAAAAATCCTAAGATGATGGCATATGATATTGTTAGTTGTTTTATCGAGCAACATACTCATCACCTCACGACTCCTAGCAAAGTCCACTTGCTACCGTCACATAAGATTGTCTCAGCAACCAAGAAAGTCCTGGTTCAACAATTCTCATAAGCTAAAATTCCAACTAGGCAACATGTAAGATTATTTGAAATAGAATCTAGTGGTCCATCAATGATTTGTTTCCTAGAGAAAGACATTAGGAACCCAAAAGGGACATTTAAAATGATTTATATGGACATGATGTCGAAACATTGATCCAACACTCTGAGATGGAGAAAGAGAAAAATATTTTTTTTTCCGCATATGAGACGGACGATGTCGATGTTCTTGTTAGATGTTTTGGGCTGATAGTGTGGCTAGAAATTCATTGGCTTAGTTTGGGGATACGGTGGTGTTCGATACAACTTATAACACAAATAAATATAGCATGGTCTTTGCCCCCTTTGTTGTAGTTAACCACCACAGGAAAACAACTATTATTAGGTGCAGATTGTTGAGTAATGAAAAGACCGAATCTTTGATTGGTTATTTTCGATGTTTTTGGAATGTATGGAAACACATGTAGCTCCAGGTGTAGTTATGACTGACCATGATGCTGATATATCTCGAGCAGTTGCAGACGTGTTTCCGAACACATTACACTGATTATGTTTGTTTCATATACTTAACAAATTTTAAGAGAAGCTAATTGTTATGTTGTACAAAGAGCAATACCACAAATTGGTCGATATTTTAAAAAAGTCAGAATCAGGTCAAGAGTTTGAAACTAGATGGTCAGAGTTGACGAGTTCTAAAGAATTGAAGAACAATGACTGGTTAGGTACTATGTACGTGATACGACACCGTTGGGTACCTGCTTATGGTATAACATTTGTTTGCTGCAGGAATGTCAAGCAGTCAGAGAGTGAAGAGTAATCATTCATTTTTTAAGCGTTATGTAAATTACAAGAACTCCTTGGTGGATTTTATTACACGCTTTAACAAGGCGCCACATCACTAAAGGCATGATGAGGTAGATACATATCATATGGATCTTATTGAAGTGCATTGAATGGTTGCCGCATTTCTAATGGAACAACAAATGGCCTCAATTTATAAAAAGACAATATGATGAGTTGGTGTGAGGATATGGGCATCAAACAACAGTTCACCTCGGTAGCCCACCCCTAGGCGAATGGGAAAGCGAAGGTCGCAAATATATCAATTCTAAATGGATTGAAGGCTAGGTCGGAGAGGGCCTCAGGAGCCCTGGTAGACGAACTTGACTGGTCCTCTGGTCATATCGAACGACACTAAGGACCTCAACGTGGAAAAAGCCATTCAGTTTGGTTTATGACATGGAGGCAGTCATCCCCATTGAGGTCGCCCTCAACTAAAAAAGTGTTAGCACCTATGCGGTGCAAGAGAATGTCGAGCTCAGAAGGGAAGCACTTGACCTGGTGGACGAGTTTCGTGACAAGGCGGAATTCAGGATGGTGGCTTACAAAAACGAATGAAGGCTGCACATGACAAGTCAGTTCGAGCTCAGTGTTTCCAAGTGGGAGATCTGGATTGGCGTCAGGATGATGCCCTAAAGCATGTTGGGAAGTAGGAGCCAAACTGGAAAGGGCCCTATACTGTC